AAAATTTGTACCTGAAACGGGCCGTTCCAGATGCAAAATTAACATACCAACAGTGTAATTAGAACGGGTCGTTATGGTTTCAGAACGGGCCGTTATGGTTTCAGAACGGGCCGTTCTGGTTCTAGAATTTTGTGCACAAAAAAACCAAGGTACAAAGCATTTCAATTGCTAAATATTTGGGCTATACAGTGTATCATTAAGGACGATGCAGTGTATCACTAAGGACAATGGTAACAAGTTTTATTTCATTGTTAGTCAAACTGGAGTGAATCACTTACTACCAAATTGACACTATACAGTCAAGGATGAAACGAAGCGGTGTTTCCCCTTGAAGTCATTGACGATGTACCCCAACAATAACAACCTGTTCTTGAGGAGGTACAACCTGAATTTTTGTGGTTTAGGGTTTCCCTTCAGCGTTACCCAGATGATTTCCTTTCTCAATAATTTCTTTGAACTTTTTTAGTATATGTTATGTTCTAAATTTTTGTTTTCAGTTTCTGAACTATGTTTCTGTCTTTGAATTTTTGTTATATTATTTTTTATGTTTAATTTTTGAATCATATTGCGATTTTACTCAAGATTTTGAACTGGATAAGTTTAAATCGAAGAAGGATTTTGGAAGGTCTTATCTTATTTGATTCTTTTTTTTTAGTTTTATTCATAAATGAATATTAATTTATTGTATTTTTTATTTATTATATTTTTATTAATATAGATATAATAAAAAAAATACAATAAAAAGCATGAAGTTGGCGTTCTGGAACGGGCCGTTCTGAATTCTAACAGCAGAACAGCCCGTTCCAGTTGCAAAATTAACACATAACATGTGCATGCAGAACGGGCCGTTCTGGTTCCAGGTGTATTCATGCCATTGGCATCCACCTATGTATCTACGTGACATCCACCTGACATCCACGTCAGCAAGAGTTAACCCCGTTTAAGGCATTTGGACGGAAGTCCCAAATTGCAATGATTTAAATTATTGGGGACTAAATTGAGACCTAAAATTAAAGTGGAACTAAATTGAAACAGAAAAATATTATCAATGACCAAAAGAGGTTTTTAACCAATTATCAATAATAACACTCTTGAAAGCATAGAATTTGAACTCTTTTTCTTAGTTTTTCTGTTCTAAGACTACATTTTTTGAGACTCTTAAAGTGATATATTTCGAACCAAGGCACTAGGATGGAAGCGTTCGTGGAATTTGCAAAAAGATCAAGAGTTTTAATGAAGTTCAAAAATTAATAACAGATATTTTAAAATATAACATCTTTATTATAATCTCAATCTAGAAAATCTTTTACTATTTTATTTTTGGCAAGGCATAAATGAACTATTTATAAACTTAGAAGTTCCAGAGTAAAAAATAATTCTAAAATACTTACTTACTATCGCTAACAAACTTATTCACATTATTACATATTGAATTAAGTACATCATCATAACATACATGGAAGAGACTATACTTGAGAAAATCAATCTAATTTAAATATTTTTTCAATGTACAATTTACTCTTGAAAAATCATATTTAAGCTCTCATAAGGATAAAAGAAGCTTCTATATACCTCCCTATCAAATTCATGCATATCTAATCAAATTATCAAATATTTGCTTTATTGGCCAGCCAACCTCCAACATGCAATTTTACCTTTTCCCCGCTGAAAGTGCTAATCATGACAACTTATGATGAAGAAACTATAATAATATCTTTTATATTTTGGTATGCACGTTACCTTCACAAATTATTTTCTCTGCCTTGGTAAAACGTGTTCACTTGATATCCTTTTCATTAAATGGAGAGAAAAAAAAAATGGAATAAGAATGATTAGAGACTTCTTAAGTGATGATTTATCATCATTGTACATTGCGATTATTTTTTACAATCTTAATAATGCAAATAGTTTGTAGTAACACGATCATCTGTATTAGCTGTCAAACATTAAAATATAGTTTTATTAAGTTATGAGAGTAATATTAATAAGAGTTAAAAAATGTACACCAATTATTTGAAATATATATTAACGGGTAATGCACCCTATTCTGACAGTAAAGGTGGATAGTAAATTTAGAGATTTGAAAAATAAAATTATCATTTTAAAAATAATTTTACTAAATTATGCCTCTTTATATATGTGTGCTAGTTTTTTTAACTAGAGTGTTAACATCTAACACATTTTTTCTAACATATTTTCCTCTTCTTCTTATTATTAAAATTTATTAAAAATTATAAAATTAAATTTGTAAGCTGTTAGATAAAAGTGAGACTCACAGCTTTGTTTAATTTCCAATAAATTTGAATTAATAATAATATTAAAAATATGAATAACATTTTTCTTGTAACTTACTTGTAAGTATAAGGTCTTTTCTATTGCAATGAAAAAAGTCAAAAACAGGAAATAAACGAAAATGAAAACTAATCCAATTAGGATGATATTTGAATTATAAATGGATTAGACTTTAAACTTGTGTCGATAAGTTGCAAAGGGAAGACAAATTAAAGAAGCCATTGCAGTTGCAAATGATGAAGGAAGGAAGAGATGTAACGAAAGCTAAATACTTCTATTTTTATGGGAAAATTCAAAAGTAAAATGTGCTTGTTAAAGAGTTAATTAAAAATTATTCATTCAAAATTTTGCCTCATTATGTGATATCGCCGTATCGGTAATTATATATGTTTTTTTTATTTAAATTTTAATAACAATTCAATATTTATAGCAACATTTTCTACATTACGAGAAAAATGACTTGTACATATGGATGTTTTATTCTTATAAATAAACACAACGATTGAGTAAGAAAAAAAAAAGCTATTTTTTTAAAAAATATTTAGTATAAATAAAACTTAAATACTTGTATTTATAATTGTTTGCTGTAGGAAAAATTTTAAAAAATTCTTATTATATAAATCACATAATAGATGGATAGATATTCACTTACAATAATATAACTTTTAGTGATAATTTTTGTCTATAATTATAAGACAATTTTTATTTAATGCTAGGTATTAAATTAATTAATAATTTATTATCTCAATATTATTTTAGAATTTTATTAAAAATTAATTTGACCGACTATTATATTTTAAGGACTATATTGATTATTGCCTCTAATAATTAGAGGCGTGTGAAAAGTATCATATATAGTTATTTTTATGTTGTAGTTTTATTATATTATTGATATTTGGTGGTGAATTGATTTTTTTTGCTAAGTTTAGTTTAATTTAATTAGTTGGTATTTTCATTGATAATATAAGTAAATATTAATATGTTTCAAGTGTTCTTTTTAGGAATTGAAGATGCAGCAAAATTGTGGAAGCATTAGGAAGAGTTGGAATAGAGTTAACGTTTAGTGCGAGATATTAAAGCTGAGCATAAGAGATGTGAAGAATTCTCATTATGTTTCACGCTTAATTAAGGCCATTGATAATGCATTTAGAGTGACATTCTGGAGAAGTTCAATTATTATTATTATTATTTTTTATATTGGTGCTCAATGTGAGAAGACTTGTGCTTATTGTTAATGTAAAAATTGTCACAATTACATTTTTATTAGTCAGTTTAAGGTAGTTATTTATGGGGAACCAAACTCGAATTATGATATTACGAGGGTTTTGTTTGAGTTTTCTATTACTTTTCTTAATTTGTTTTTGTAATTATTTATTGTTTTCATGACTAAGAGCATTTAAATTCTATTTTGTTGGGATTAGTTGCAATTACTGAATCTTATGTAATTATGTTGATATATTAATCTATATTTATGTTTTTTTTTTATCGATATTACAGTGATTGTTTATGCTATTAATGTTTTTTTATGGTTTGATTGATCACACCTAAAATAATAATTGACTAAATGAGATTAGAAAATTAATTATAAGTCTTGGACCGAAATAAACATCTAAAAGTCTTGATTAATAGAAATAAAGTTGTGTTTTTTTAAGTCATCTTAAGATTTTTGTTCTAGTGCAAGTTATTTATTTAAGTGTTGCAGGAATTAGAGTTTATACAAAGAACTTAACCTCTTACGTACTCATAGTTAATTAGAGCTAGAGTATTTATTTAAGTGAAAGGATGTTAAGATTAAAGATAAAAATATATTATAATATTAATGTTATTACGATCTAATTCCAACATGCTTTCATACAATTATTAATTTCCCTTTATCATTCTAAATGATTGATAAAAATCTAAGAAGAGTTTATTTACATTTAATATTATTGTTTCAATTGCTTTTTAAATAAAAGTATTAATCTATTAGTAGAGGAAGTTTAGTGATAGGAGTTAGAGTAATATATATAATGTTTTAAATTTAAATTCTGGTATTGTTATTATAATTTTAATGGATAAAAAAATAAAAGTATTAATATTTTTTTTATAAAATCAATTGTTATTTTATTAATTAATTAATAATTAATTGGTATATGTTAGATATTTAAATAAGTTATTGAGAAAAGAAAAAATGTTCATCTTTGTTTATTTATTATGACTTGATTTGCTTGCCAATAGAAAAAAGAGACTAATCATGTGTATTATAAACACATGCTATTTTTTTTTCTTCACATTTTTAAAAAAGTTATTAGTTAACATTTACATCTCCTCAAATTTTTATTTATTTAAAATAATCAATGTTATTTTTAATTAATTTTGTTGACTTTTTATTTATTTATTTTTACACAGTTTTATATTTAATTTTATTAAAATTTAGAAACAACAGTATCGTATCGTGCACTGAATCTTGGGTACTTTATTTATGAATATAAAATAAATTTATCTTAAAGGAACAATTTGACAATGTGCTTTTACTGCGTGCGCACTATCCAAAGAATGGTGGTGGTAGCACTGTATCAGTACGCGAAGCGAGTGAGTGGTGGTGGTGGGTCGCGCAACACGTCGTCGTTTCGTTCGGTACCACACCAAAAAGTCAAATCATATCATAACCTCAACGCTTTCCCGTAACCGCGCCAATCACGCTCCCAATCTTCCCACGTGTCACTCTTCCATTGGCTCCCACTTGCAACCGCAGACACCAACCAACCACCTTAAAGCGCACCATCGCAAACCATGGTCCTCAGCCCCACCGTATCATTCAACGGAGAAAAGGAAAGAAAAAAAAAAGCGTCCTCTGCAACCCTTTCCCCTTTTCCTTTTCCTTTTCCCTTTCCCGGTTCGTTCACCGAGTCGCACTGAGTCGTGACTCGGTCACGCGACATAATCATTACGCTTCTCTTCCACTTCCGTTATCCTCGGATTGCATAAATTCGCCAATGCCTCTTTCGCGGAACTCCAAGCTTCCACACATAACTAACTTTTTCGGATGCTTCTCTGAAACGCGCGTTTGCGTTCGCACGCTCTTTCTGTTTTGGGGAAAATGGCTGACGCCGTCACCGCCGATGGAGTGCCCGGAACTCCCGCCATAAGGGAAGTAAGGGCCGAGTCGGGGGCCCATGCGGGAATCGGGTCGGGTGGGATTCGGAGGGTGAATTTTCGAGCGGAGATTGACACGTCGCCGCCGTTCGGGTCGGTTAAAGAGGCCGTCACCCGTTTCGGAGGTAGCGGGCCTTGGATACGCTTTTTCGTAAGTTTTTGGATCTGTTTTTGCATCTTGGACCTTTAAATGTCTGTTTATGCCTTTCTTTTTTGTTTTATCTTCTATGTCAAGCCATATATCAAAGTTTTTCTTTTTTAATATAATTGCATGCTTTAAAAGTTAAAACTCATTTGAGTTGTAATAATTTTGAGTTAGTTAATTTACTTCTGTGGTTGTCTTTTTTTTTTAACAAACTAGGTTTATTTGTTAAAAATTTTGACCATTTGATTCAAATAATGAAGTTGAAGCCAAATTTAAACACTAGGTTGTTATGCATTTCTTTTCCAGCAAATCTTAAATGCAATTACTAACAAGTGTCTTAAAATTATTGGTTAAACTAGAAACATAAAAATTTAGGTTCAATATTCAAATAATTAAGAAGTTGATACGTAAAAAGTGTTAATAAAAAATTATGATAAAGTTACATGAAAAAAATTGTTACTACACTTTTCAATAAAGAAAATTATACTTTTGATTTCTTATTAGTGTCTTAAGAATTAGTTTTTATGGCACTGGTAAACATTTTTCATACATATATATATTTTTTAATTTTGTCTAATTAAATATAGAGCTTTTTCTTGTAACTTATACTATTATTTAAGGCAAACTCAAATTTTGGAGTAATCACTAGGTTGTAGAAGTTTTATTTATTTATTTATTTTTAAAATATAGAGCTTTGATTAATTATTTCTATTTGATTTCATAAAAGAATTTGGTTGCCTGGTCAGTGAATTACTAATATGCTTTAGCGCAGTATAGTTCTTTGTATATACCTGCCCCGATGTGTTAGTTTACTTTCTGATGTAGAAGAAGATTATCATTAGCAGAACAACATTGAAGATTTTGACATAAAGAAAGTGGAGGAACAGGCAGCGGAGTTGGAGAAGGATTTGATTGTCAAAGAACTTGAAACACTTGACGTGCTTGAAGAACTGGGAGCTACCAAGAGGATCGTGGAGGACCTTAAGCAGCAGTTACAAAAAGAGGCTATGAAATATGTAGCAACTCGAGATGTAAATTCATATGAACCAGTTGGAACTCCTGTTATCAAGGAGATGGATAAGGAAAATTGTGGAAATAATGTCAATGATCAAGAACAGATGATGCAAATTCCAAGTCCGTGCTCTATGTTATCATCACCTGATATGATCTTGATGGAGTTGAAACAAGCCAAATTGAATCTAGGCAAAACTATAAATGAACTTGGGGTGATACAATCCTCTGTTGAAACTTTGAATAAGAAGATGAAGAAGGAGAAAATTTTCTTGGAGAGGACACGGGAAAAGCTAGCATCAAAGTTTGCAGCTGTATCTGCTCAAGAGAGAGCCCAAGGTCAAACAAAATTAAATCCACCAGCATCTTATGTGGAATGCACCTTTGATAACCCTGCAAATATGATGAGGAATCTCAATTCTGATTCTGGGCAGTGCAATAGAATGGCTGAAACAAGAGCTGAACCTTCGAAGCCCTTAAGTGTGTATGAAGAATATGGATTTAGTGTTAAGACTGCTGAGATGAGGTGGCTTGCTGCTAAAAAGATGGAAGAAGCTGCAAGGGCAGCAGAAGCTATTGCTCTTGCTGAAATAAAGGCTCTATCCAATTATGAGAGATCTTCAGGATTTGTTCTGCCAGAACCTGAGAAAATCACTTTTGCTTTTGGACAACGCTCTCCCCTAAACTCCAAGGTTCGGATACCTGAGGAATCTACCTTGAAGAAGGTGATAGATCCCAAGTTTCGAGTTGAGGAAACAAATGTTTCTAAACTGACTATTTTGAAGAAGTTGCAGGAAGCATCAGAAGAGGTTCTACACAGCAAACGAGTCTTGACAGATGCTTTAAACAGAGTTGAAACTGCGAACAGAAAGCAGCATGCTGCCGAGGAGGCTCTGAGGAGATGGATTCCAGAGAGTGAACTCAAGGAGTATAATTCTGTTAATTGCAACAAGTTTGATCAAGCAGGAATTTGTCAAGATTCTTTGCAGGATGTAACCAGGTCAACGACTGCAAACAATGTTCCAAAGCCTGCTTTAAGGCCCACAATTTCAATGAGAGATGTACTTAGCAGAAAGCAGGTTCCTGAAGTATATGCTACAAGAAAGGAGATGGAAGAGCACACTGAAAGACAAAAGGTAGCGTTGAGTCAAATGCTACAAGCATTGAGGGAAGATCTAACTCTTCCAACAAAGACTGAGAAAGATGGTGGCGACCAGAAGCCGTTCATAGCACAGAGGAAGAAATTTGGATTCATTCAAATATCACTCCCCTTGACAAAGCCAAATAAGAAAAGGGCATGAAATTTCAACCGTCAATCCCTATGCATGGATGAATAGCCACTACTCGTGCATCTTCATATCTTCCCATGCCATTCTTTATTGGTTCATGTGTTCACTTTCATGTTATTTATGTAGAAGTTTGTGTGGGTGTTTGGTTTGTAAAATAAGTTGTATTTGAGTGATTGCCTTATAATTATGTTGCTAGCTTTAATGGAGCTAGTAGATTATGTTGCTCTAGTTGGACGCATTAGAGTGATGAGAAATTAATTCACAGGGTGTGAAGATATTATTATTGGATAATTTATTGTTATATATATGATCTATCATGTGGTTGCTCAGTTGTACCAAATTATATAAATTTATATTTTGTTGAGTGATGTACATATTGGAAACATCAAATTTCATTCCATAGACTGCCAGGTTGCTTAAAATGCTATTGCTTTACTTCGTTTGTAGTCTCTACTGATCTACAAATACATCCAATATATATATATATGCTTTCATTTAGGGTGTCTGTTTGCAGTTTCAACTCTGTTTAAACAAATATATATGTTGCTTTCTCAATCACTCTCGTGAAAAATAATAATTTATGTTTAATATATAAGTATTGATTATTTAACTTTATAAATTAAAATGGAAAAATATTTTATATCCTGATAGGAAAAAAAATTAAGATTTTGTATTTGTTTATTAAAATCGAATTTAGTACTAAAAATTTACAATATCTCACATATTTTGCACCAATTAAATTAGACTCTTTAATTAAAAATTAATCTATGATGTCATCCCGAGAAAAACTTTGTTATATATTTGTATGTATAAAATTGATAATTCATTTAGAAGATTAACATAATGATATAGACAATGACAGTTGATTTTAAGGTCGGTATAATTATGGTTCACAATGTTGTCATAATTTTCTAATATTAAATGAGAGTTATTAAATAAATTAGTAAAATAATAGGAATTAGTCATTTATTCAAATGCCGTATAAATGCAAATATTATGTTCGATATTTCTTATTTTAAATGCATTTAAAATATTTCCTTATCCATTTAGCCAAAAAGAAAAAAAAAGAAAAAAGAAAAAGAATTCCTTATCCAGTGGTGACATGTCACGTGACTATAAAGCAGCGACCACAGGAAAATCCACGTGAGTACAACAAAATTGGGAGGCGGAACCTCGCTTCGCTTAGGATCACACCTAAAACATCCATCGACATTTGCGAATGCAAACGAAAGAGTGAAACCAACACAAACAACGACATCTTCTTCTTCTTCAGCTTCCGTAACATTAACGTTCCAATACGATGATGGACTTCGCTAATTCCATTTCCTCTTCTCATGCTATTCCTCCCACACATCCTTATCGCCTTCAACCCTCTCCTTTTCCTTTCCACCTCCCATTTTCGGTATGCAATTTCTTCTCTCTCTCTCTCTCTATTCTTTTATGTTATTTCATTTACTGTGATTTTTTTCTTTTGTCTTTTAATTTTCAGAGATTAAAGCGTTCGGGTTTGGTTAAGAATCGGCTGATTGCTCGTTGCACTTCTGGGTCTGATGAATTTGGTTCTATTAATGGTTTGCAATTCACGCCCAATAAGCTCTTTATGCAGGAGGTATTGCTTCTACTCGTTTTCCTGTTTCTTTTCAAGTGTTCAAATTCGATTCCCCCAATGTTCTCCATCCATTTCTTTTACGTCCAGCAAGCACTTATGGCGCTGGTTAAAAAGTGTTTCATGCGCACTTTATCCAATAGTTTAATTAATTTTAAAAAGCGAGGCATAAATGATTTTTATGCTTATTGATGCAGGACGTGTTTAGAAGAGCTTGTTTCAGCTTATGAAAATCTTCAAGGCCTGTATGATAAACTTTTCAAGAAGCACATTTAAAAGAAAAAAAATAGGAATAAAAACTGAAATAAACTTTTTCATAGTCTAAACCTAGCTTATACAGATAGCTTCTAGAAATTAGTATATGTATAAGTTAATTTTAGCTTATGCAAAACCTTATTTTATTTTTTCTTCCTGTTTTTGTTTCCTAGAAGGGCTTCTGAAAAAGTTTATGTAAGCAGGCCCATAAACTCATTTAGCTTATTTTTATAACTTTCACATAGAAGTTTAACAAAATAAGTTCTTTTTAGGTTATTTCAAGAAGGTCAATAGTTAAGCTTATGAACGAGCTCTTATTTGATAAGACTCGAGATTACTTCAAATGACGGTGTGTTTGAGAGAGTTTTATAAAGTAGCTTATGTTATGTCCGTAAAGTGTTTTTGGCCTATTTAATTAAGCTTTACAGATAACTTAAGAAAATAACTTAAAATTTAAGGTCTGTTTGGATAAATTTCTCAAAAAACACTTTTCAGAGAGAAAAATAAGAAGGAAAAATGAAATAAGTTTCTCAGTAAGCTAAAATTAGTTTATGTACAAAGTAACAATAAGATTTTGGAGAAGTTAATTAGGAAAAGCTTCTAACAATTGGCTTATGGAAAAACTTATTTTATTTTTCCCTTTGCATTATGGAATTTGTTGGAGCAGTGAGTTAATTGATGCAAAGTGATTTTAACTACTCTTATTTGATGTTTCCTCCAGGCTATTGGAGCTGAATATGGGGAAGGCTTTGAGACTTTTAGGGCAGATGGACCATTAAAAGTTGATGTTGTAAGGAAAATTTTTGTCATTGTGGAATTTTCTAGATTTTCTTTAGAATAAGATAGATTGCCTCTTGGTACTTCTCTGATGATAGTATACTATAATTATGACTGAAGGATGCTAATTCTTTTTTGTAAATAGGACTATTTGAATGATAAATTGCAAGATGGTTTTCTTCAGCGCATACGCTATGCTATGAAGCCAGATGAAGCTTATGGTCTGATCTTCTCTTGGGACAATGTAGTGGTAAGTAATTTTAACTCTAACTTGTAGGTTTTCTTTTATCCTTTTGTTTTTATTTTAGGGCTATAATGAACTATGCTCGATAGTTGTCTTTACTATAGTATTTTCCATGTTTTAGAAATGTTAACTGATGCTAGTTGAGTTTATGATATTTATTACAATTGCATAGAAGATGTGCATTGTTCTGGGTTTTAATTACGTTAGGGACTGACTGCTATGACTGATTCTTGGGAAAAGAAGTCCATGACCTCATGTTTATGTAATAAAATGCGATCACTTTATTTATATTAATTCCCTGATAAAAGCATGCAATTCATTTCAGGCCGGTACACGAGCTCTAAAAAGGAAGGCATGGGAGCAGCTGGCCTCGGAAGAGGGTATGTTAATTGTTTATTTCATTACTGTGGGGCTTTAGATGGATACGTGCATGCACTTTCAGATGGATGGTACAAAATAAAAATAGGACAGGATCTCCCTTAAGAAATTGAACAACTCATCAAAATATGACAAATAATAATTCCTTTGTTTAGATATTCAGTTGATGTATGTCCATTTGGGAACACAAATTAGTAGAAAGGAAGGGGAATATTTTTTAAGTTATAATTTACCTTTTAAACTTATCAGTTGTTGTTTAGAGTGTTTCCTCTTCATTGTTGGTAGATGATAATGGAAAGTTCAGAAGATTTGTTGAAAAGCTTTTCCTTTCCCTTTACTTTCCATCCACACTTGAAGGACATATAAACTTACAGAAAAATCCATCATAGGGAGCACCTATTTTTCCCCCTTCCTTTATGTCTATGTATTTAAACAAGGAACTGGCATTTCCTTCCATTATTTCCCATTCCATTTCCTTCTGTCATTCCCATACAAGAACGACTTAATAAGAGATGCTGTCATTTTGAGCGAGACAGTTTTTATAATCAATCAAACAAATTCAATGAATAAAGGGAGACCTAGGCATGTTTTCATGCAGCTGACTCACAAATACATAGTGATACTTTACCAAATTGAAGGAACAGATAAGTGTACACTATACAGGGGTTTGAATAATGGTGCATGCCGCATTAACTGCCAATGTAGCCGCCTTTCATAGGGCTACAGTGGTGCTGAAGTGTATGAAAACTCATTTTTGACCTCAAAATGTCATTGAAAAAGATGGGGGGGGGGGATAAGGTTTATATTTCCCTAATCTCTCCCCTTTTAATAATTATAGAAAATTCTAGCTAGCTGTAGTTTCCACGCATCTAAGATATCCATGGTGCAACCAACACCCACTCTTTTCCAACAGTATTACCGGTGATGCTCATTGTCCATTTTTTTTTTCTCTGTTCCGAACTTTGTACCCTCAGCTTTCTCTGTTTTCTTTTGCACAACACTCATCCTCATTTTTTATTGAATGTTTCGGATGTTTGTATTTGAAATATTAATGTGTCTTCTGAATTTTGTTTGTTTCCTTAACTTATTTTGCTATCTACTTGTATGTTTTGCTTTAGACCTATGACTTTTTAATTTTTATTTTTAATTACAAAATATTTCATGAATTTTGTATACATTCAGCATGCATTATCTTATATATTAATATATGTAAAAGAAAAACTAAGAATAACAGTCATCCTGCTATAGACTACTACATCATGGCATTTTTGGGATCAACTGCTACATACTACCATCCGAGATTGATAACTATGATTATCATATGACATATGCAGGAAAGGATATTCCAGAAGAAGGTGATATGCACAAATTACTGTTTTATGCAGGTGCTGATCATGTGTTGCATAAGGTTAGTTGGCTTTTTCTTTTGGTTAGTTGGTAACATGGTCATTGAATTATGTTGACATAGTTTCTTAAAATTAGCGTCATCATTAAAAATTTAAATCTTTGATCTGAAATTTTTCTTTTGCTGATTATCCTTCTTAATTTGCAGTTTTTTCTCTCAGATAAGTCAGAAAATGAGCTGAATAGGCTAAAGTTGAGGTTTTCTCAGCTGTATTATGATAATCTTCTGAGAGTAAGTTGTCTTGATTTTTTCTGATGGCTATTATCTAGGGTGGAGCGGGGTAAGACCTAACATTTCTTGCATGTAACTGTATGTAGCTTGAAAAACCAATGGATGGCCTCAAAGACTGGTTGGAAGCAGTTTATACAGCTCGCATCCCCTGTGCTGTTGTTTCAAGTCTTGATAGAAGAAATATGTTAGAGGCTTTGGAGCGCATGGGGCTAAGCAAGTATTTCCAGGTTGGTTATAAGAAGTGTTTGCAAGAAATCAATTCTTCCCTCGCTTCTCCAATTCCAATCATCGCATAGAAAATCATATTGGTACAAATAACATGCTTTGCTTGAGCTTGGGTTATACTGAAAGACCGCCAGATCTTACTTCTTTCTCAGGCTTTTATTGCCAATTATAAATATTATGTTGTTTGTTTGGTTCTGGTATTGGCTTTGATTGCAGTTTGAGTTATGGTCAATATATTTGGAAAAATGGCATTGACATACTTTAATTGAGAAAAAGAGCAGTTTGTTTTTGCTGTAATTTTTTTTATCTAGATCCATTATAGGGAAGAGGAATTCTAGTGATATTGTTATTGGGTCTTGGGGCCCCACTTAGTAGAACTCGCAAGACTGTCACCCAATCATAACGAGTGTTGATGCAAAGTGATTTTAACTACTCTTATTTGGTGTTTATGACTAAAGTTCAACCTATTTAATGTTCTAGATATAGTATATAAATTTATAAATAACTTAACATGCTCTAAAATTTGCCACTTGCTGATTGCCTCATTTGATTTGCAGGCAATTGTGACAGAAGAGGATGGAATGGAATCAATAGCTCATAGATTTCTTTCTGCCGCTGTCAAGGTACAGTTTCATCCATCTGATTCTATTTTGATGAAATGTTTCTGGCTTTAAATTATTACAATTAATTACCATATTTATTATTGTTTTTTAACACTTTACAACATGTAGTATAATTACACTCAGGCATGTTTCCAGGACCCAGGTCCATCTCTACTAAATACTAGGAAATGGTAACACCGCAGAAATTTGGAATGTTGTAGTAGTAGTCTACTATCTATGGTAAAACATGGACCACAGCACTTGATTTATATTAACTTCTTTGTAAATTTGAGTGTTTTTTTCTCTGTATTTTGAAGTTGTAGGATATTACAAAGGGTAAAGTTCCTAGAGTTGCTCAAGGCGAAAACGAGATAATCAAACATTTTCTTTAAAGATATGGGCTGAATGATGTTTTAGACTGTCAAAATATTGAGTACCTCTGCTTTTTATATTTTGGAGTGATAGTATCTTTTTTTTTTTTTTATAAATTTTTTTATAATAAGATGAATCCCGAAAGCATCCTATTTAAACATTAAAAAATTTGGAATAATTACTGCTGCTAATTGTGTGGCCTCAAAAACTGTTGACAATTAATACTTAAGGTCCAAAGTACAAATAAAGTGGCAAATGTTGAGATGTGGCAATGGTATTATATGTGGGCTTAGTTAGTTTAGGTTCCACTGACTAATTATTCTGCAAGTCTTCCATAAGTTTTTCTCATTCTTTTTACAATATTCTGCTAGCTTTTGACCTGTTTACCTATATGCCTTGCAGTTGGATAGGAAACCTTCCAAGTGTGTGGTTTTTGAAGATGATCCTAGAGGAGTAACTGCTGCGCACAATTGTACAATGATGGCTGTAGCATTAATTGGAGCTCATCCCGCGTGAGTAATTTATATTTATGCTTAATAATATAAGATGTGTTGGTATGAAAATAAGATTTCATGAAACATGTCAGACATGCATATTTCCAATTTAATGCTTAGTGCAAACATCTTTTCCCATGTACATGGAAGTCGGTAGAAGTTCAACTTGGTATTTGATTTTGAGTAAGCCTCTCGGACTATTGTTGTTGAGTTTGCCTGTCACCAGCTATTAGATTGTTATTAAACCATCCATAGGTTGAGTCTTGTAAACTTTATACTTGAGATGTTCAACATGAGGAGTGTGTTGGATATCTTTTATTAAGTAGTGGGATAACCAAAATAGAGTATCTATATGGTGACATTTTTCACCTTATATATTAATTTTGTGGGATTGAGTTGAACTCAAATCCATACTTTTAATAGTGAGGAATAAAGTTAATCCATTGCATATCCCTTCCATCGAAATGAAAGAGCAATTTCCGTTCAGTTACACATTTGATTACTTGAATTTTTTTGGTGAATTTATTCTTTTGGCACTTAGAAACTGATTAATGTTGAAACATGCAGGTATGATTTGGGGCAGGCTGATCTTACTGTTGCTAACTTTAGTGAACTTTCTGTGATCAACTTGCGAAGACTATTTGCTAACAAGGGTTCTTCATTTATGGACTTGCAGAAGCAGATCATAGAGAAAACTCCTTCCAAAAGGAAACTTACAATAGACACCATTTTCTAATTTCCTTCCCATTTTAATCCCTGCTAGATTTCCTTGTAATTAAATAGTTAATGCGGTCGTAATTTTTTTTATATATATATCTAATAAAATTGCAATCAGTTCGATCTGATGTTATTCCCATGTTTTATATCAATATCTTCAGTTTTCGCTTCCAGTTTGCACGTCGAAAGTGGGATTTGGATGTCCCAGCATCTCAATTTTTTTGGTGAATCTAACATTGAAGATGTTTGGAATTGTTATTAATGTGTCTTTTTTACCTGTCTAGATGTTTGGTTTGTTAAATCATGGCACTGAACATGTTTGGCGTATGAATCATTTTGCATCTCGAAGTTAAAGCTAACAATAAATTTATTTTTGGACTAATGATAAATGTAAACTTTATTTCGAGTGGATTAGAGTAGAAGGAAAAGAGAAATGTAAAGTAAGAAAAGAGACGGAGAGAATAAATTGGTAATTGCGATAAATGATGTGATGAAAAATAAAGAAAATTGATAGAAAAAGATGAAAGGAAATGAGAGTGGATGTAATTTTTTGTTTGTTTGTGTGAAGTAGAACATGTTTTATGCAAGTAGAAAGTCATGCTATTGTCATTAAATAATTAAATAATTACTTTTAAATGGAGAGTTTTTTAATTTTTTTTAAAAACAATGTTATTAAATATTTTGTTAGTCAACATAATTTTATTCGTAAAACGAGATGCCCTATTACTTTAAATTTATTAATAAAAGAGAAAGTTTGGTTACATATAATTCAGGAAAAAAAAAATTCTAAATATATTTATCTTTGAAGTGAATAGATAATTACATATTGAGGAAAAAACGAAAACAAAATCATCTTAACAGATTAAAATAACTAGTAAAAGAGGTGGCAAAAATCTGTTAATCTACATACACAAAAAGAGAATGAACAATGAAATATTGAGAAAAGGATGAAGAAAAAGTCATGAACAAATTAAAAAATAGTAACAAATGTTGAAAAAAGCACGTTAAAATATTGAGAACCACACACCAAACAAATGGCCGAAGCCTCAGTAGTAGACCTTTCGTACAACGAGTGGACCAAAAATTTACTTAATTTTAAAAATAAAAAATACTATCACTTTTAGTAGTCAAAATAGACTATATAACATTTAAAAGTAAACATAACTTATAAAGCAATACCTAAACTATTTTGAGAATCAAAAATCATTAGTTTCACATTTATTTCTTAAAGAAATATACACCAACAAATATTTTACAATTTATATTCGATGTATTTATTATTATGTTATAAAATTTTATTAATACCTAAATATTTAAAAATTATATGTATTTTAAAGTATAATTCAAATTTATCCTCAAAATATTCCAAAAGTATTTTTTTTTTTAAATTAAAGTTGTTTCTTTGAGTGAGGTTGGATTAATACAAAGAGACCGATTATTAACATCATTAGTTCATAATAATTCTCTAATCGATATGCTTATATTCTCTTGACAATTCTTTTTAATTATTTAATATTTTTTTATTAAAAAAGTCTATATTAAAATAAGACATAACTTCATATAAAGTCAGAATTAACTACTATAATAAAAATGAATGACTTAATCACATATATTATGAATGAAACTTACTAACATTTTTATACAAAGAAGGGATGGTCATGGTCATATTACTCATATGCATCTTATGAATGGGTTTAGTTATAAAATAGATTAGTTAAGAGAAAAATATTTATTATTTTAAATACTTCATATCAATATTATAATTACAGTGTGTATATATATATATTTATTTATTCGTAAGTAATTGTATTGTCTGTGAGAAAAATTGTATTGTCTGTGACTCTGTGGTGCAGTTGGTGACATGGCAAAAGCAGAAGAAATTGAAGAATGCCATTGGCGAATGCTCATCTCATTCATTCCCTTATCTTTCCTTCTCCATATCCATTATATCATATTACTTCTAACTCTCTTCTCTTCACTCTTCAATTTCAAACATGTTGTGCGTTAACACCGCCTTCACCTCTTTCGTACCCACAAATTCAACTTGCGTTCTTTCCTCTAAATCACGCACCCAAATTTCCTGCACCCTCCCAGGTATTATTAGGGTTTTTCATTTTCAGGCCATTTTTTCTACAATTTCACTCATCTTATCTTTCCATTTCCAGCTTTTGACTGTAGAATTATAACTTAACTACCCACAACTCATAATTTACGATTTTCCTTACTACCATTTTGCCATGAACTTGTTATTATTATTAATTCAATTGCTTGTGTGTTTTTTAGTCCTCATTTTTTGGTCAAACCTGAAAAGCCCTTCTCTATTTTTATTCCCTAATCAATGAACGACTTTTATTATTTCATGTCTGAGTTCTGGAAAATTTTCTGCAGGAACAGTTGCTGAGCCAAAATCTACAGCTACTGCTGAACCAAGATCG